AGTTCAAGAATGTCCCCTCAGGAAATTTCAAGACATCTGGGATCATCTCTCCACAGCCACACCAGAAGCAGATAGATAGTTAGCTTCCTTAGATATCAAATTATAACATCTATCCCACTGCAATTCTATGATTCCCTATTATGATGATTTTATGGTGGTTTTAACTTAATGTAATACTTTATCTCCTATACTGTATTGTCCACATACTATATATATGGTGTGGCTGTGATGAGATCATCCCAAACTAAATTAGTGTTATCTGTGATTGCATGCCATATGCTAAATGAATAATAAGCTATAAAAACAAGGGGGGGAAATCCAAATCCTATTGCAAAACCCAGCCCAGACAGCCCCATCCATTTTGTAATCCCAAACTTTCAAAAAAAGATATATGAAGTCACCAAAAGATTGAGTACTCCTGCCTCAAAGACTTTGGTTATAGCAGAGTTTTCCAGCAATTCTTATCCTTCTTCCAGGACCAGCTCCAATGGTGATGATTCACGGAAAAGGTTTAGCCACAGACCTGCCCTTTGCCGGAAGTAGACTTTGCTCTATTTATTTTATTTTTATCCAACCTTTATTATTCTATTAATTACTCAAGAAAAGGAACATACTTAATACTCTTTCCTCCACCTATTTTCCCTACAACAATAACGCTGTGAGGTGGGTTGGGTTGAAAGACACGTTACTGGCCCAAAGTCACCCAACCAGCTATCATGCCTAAAGCGAGACTAGAACTCACATTTTCTAGTCTGGTGCCTTAACCATTAGACCAAACTCTTTCCCTGCTCCTTTTTATCATTTATATGAAACATCTGAGCGAAGTCACCCATTGGCATTGAGTCAAGTATCATCACTAGGGTGATGATATACAGTTCTACATCTCTGCTCCAAGTAGTGGAGTGTTTCTCAGTGCCTGCAAACTGTACAGGTCTAAATGGAGAAGAATCAGATTTGGCTCAAGCCTCATAGATTGAGTAGCTCTGGAGTTTATATCCCACCATATCAAGTGATTTACTCTTTTTAATTGTCTATATTCCCCATTAAAGTTGGTGGGCTATCTGAAGATCTTCCTCAACTCACAGTTTCTGCTCAAACAGGGACTATTTGCAGTGATTCATACCTTACTAATCTACCATTGTTGGATCTCCTATTATTCCTCCACTATTGCAATGTACTCTACATGGGAATTCTTTTGAAGAGTATACAGAAACTTCAGTTGGTCCAGAATGCAGAGGAACAATCAGTAGTATACAGTACATCCATATAGCACTGCTACTATATGAGCTACACTGAATCCCAGTGGTTTGTTGTTACTTTTGATACTTAGTATGACATGAGGCCAGGTAATTTGTGGGACTAGATATCCTTGGTAGTTTCTATCTGCCCCACTTAATCTGGTAGAATGGATATCCAGATCCTCGTAGTGAAATTATATTACCTGGTGGGGTCTTAGAAAAATGCTTCCTCTGTCAAGATTTCTGCCTTATGGAAAACCCTCCCTCCAAAAATACCAATGACCCCAACTTTATTGGCCTTGAGGAAAATGATAAGCACATGGTTTATTCCCCTAGGCACCAGGGCCAGGATGTTGTCAGAGCTAGCATTAAGGAGTTACACTAAGTTATCAGTCTATATAGGAACTGTACACAATTTTTCTTGTGATGCATGGTAACAGATTTTTGACTAAGGAGCAGCTATCTTTCCTAAACTAGCATATCACAATGAGCCATAAACGTCACTGGAAACAAGGGCTCAGATAACATCTAGTTTTTATAGAAAAACATTTCAAGATGTGAACAAGCAGTGAAGAGCTCCAATATGTCTGCTTCAGGTTTTGTTTTGCTAGACAGCATGTTTCCTCTTTAAATGTCTAGGTTGGCAACTGAAGAACCCATTGACATTCCCATGGGGACCTCAGTCAACATGGCTATGGATAGTTACCAACCTCTATCCTAAGGGGACATATATTTTTTTACAGTACAAAGAATAGTGCAAATCTTTTTCCACCTCTTGAGGTGATATGCCAGAGACTATCCTCCAAAAATTGATGGAGCTTGGTCAAAAACTAAATTTGATTTAAACTGACTTTTATTTAAAACTACTCTAGATTAATCAGATAGAGAAAGCATTATTTCTACTCACCTAATTTAATTTCTTTATGTGTCACATTAAAAATACAAGTTTGGTAACAACTTTTGGAGAGGCATTATGGAACACTTCTGACTTAAAGCCCAAATTGTATTCTGAAGTATTTTAGCAGTTCATTAACAGATGGCTATTATTAATTGAGCTATTCTGCTCCATGTTAACCAGGTTAAGTGAATCAGTTATAAGAGGTGGACAAGATGCATAAAAATGACTGAACTAGGCAGAATTAATTCTATATTTTGGGATATTTATTCAAACCATTTTATGACTTCACTGAAATACAATACATAGTCTTCTTTTCCTGAACATTACAGATTTACTCAATCACAGTAAGGGTTCTGTTAAGCCTTACAATATTAAAAAATCACTATATACTGATGAAGATTGAAGACTTTATTAATCAACTATAAAGTTTAGTTAGTAAAATCAAGATTTATTTTTTAAAATTCAACTGAAACTTCAACTTTGTAACAGGGCTTTTGCAAACTCTGAGATCATGTCTGCAAAGTTTTTTTGACTACTGTTAACAGTATCATTTATACTGTTGCATACACAATAACATTCAGCCAAACACATGTATCTTGAATTGAGAAGATGTGCTTTAGCTATAAACCAACTGAAATAACTGCTTATAAACCATGACGTCTTTTACAGATAGGAGTCAAGGACAGCATGCCAGGAAAGCCCCAAGCAGTGCCATATTCACTGTGCAGCCTTGTGTTTAAGGCTATTGTACTAATGTGACTTCACACCATTCCCTAGCAAGAAACTCACAGGGCCTTAATATCAGATTTCTCTCCTGCTTCTGTCTTAAAAAAAGAGTCTTATACAAGTTAGAAACCAGCAGGCAGGCAAATTCCTTTCTCCCACAGGTGGAAATAGGTATCAATGTCTAAAATAAAAGCTGACTGTGAAAGCTATTTTTGATAATCTAACAGCCCAATTTCTAATTCCAGAAAAGTAATTTCTATGAGGCCAATGCTTCAGCAGAGCTTAGGGCATGTCTGAAAATGGAGGAGCTAAATCAAGATCCTTGCCTTTAATATATTTCATGAATTGGTTTAATAAATCAGAATACATCAAGTACTGAGCACAGACATGTATATACATTCCTTTGTGGATGTGCAAGCAATAGGATATTTATAGGCTTTTTTTAAACAACTGTTTATCAATAATAAATGTGCTTTATTGGCTGCCACACTGAAAGTAGTGTGTGAGAAAGAATTGCAAGCTAAGTTTTGATCCTGAATATAAATTTTTGTTTTGAGCCATGTATTCAAAAGCATAAATGCTAATTTTAGTAGGCATATGGCTGTCTAAAATTATTTTTTCTCCATGTACAGTACAACTGGCAACCTAGATAGTCTAATTAAGAGAGAGATCAGAGACGTCTTATGTTGTTCCAGCTCTCCTATTGTACACATCGGAAGGACATTCGAGTTAAACAAGAATGGCAGTTTTCAGGTTTATGGGATCAATTTTGTTTTTTATTAAACTCTGGAGATACATCAACTGAATAGAGCTTATAGTCCTGCACACAAACATCCTTTTCAAGTGTGATCCAATTTTCACTATTTCATTAGCATAATTTAAAATGAGGCATTATATTTAAAAATCAGGTGCTTGCAAATCTATTGCAAATTACCTAAAATTAGATCCTTTTTGTTGGTGTATAGTTGAAACATGCAAAAAAAAAAAAAAGACTGTCATTATCATTATTTACTGATAAAGAAAATTCCTCTTGCGTTATTCTCATAGAGATTTCCTACCAAGTCTGGACTGCAAAGCTCCAGACAACTACTAGATGGCAGTAACACTAAGTCTTTTCTGTCATTTACTGGCTGTCCAAATTTCTGCAGCCCAGTTAGTCTGCCTCATTTAAATTCACATTCTCTTCCTGACAAGCCTTCCAACAGAACTGATTACAACCCTTTGTCTCTTCTAAATACAAAGAAAGAGCTCCTGAGATCCAGGATGCTGTTAAAAGGCTTCATAGCAGCACTAAGGCAGGGTTTGCTTTATGAGCACAATCCAGTAAAGGTTGGAAGTGAAAATATCTAGCACAGATTAATTAAGCAATTATTTTTAAGATAGTATTCTCTTCACAGGCCAATGTGCCACGAATGTAATGCTAAATAAAGAAAGGGATCCCACTGATCACTATAGAGATCCAGAGCAGGTTGCTTTGCTGTGGCTGTTTTTCTCACATCCAAACTTAGGCTGTCTCTGGGGAGTTTTGAGAGATGTTCCTTTTTTTTTTTTTTTTTGCTTATGAGATAGTGAAGCTCTGATGCGGCTCATATAAAGAATATGAAACGTTGTGGATTGTCCTGAGCTGGATAAAGGGGAGTGACTACTCCTTCTCCCTATCTTATGCATGTACTGCATGCATGTGTCTGTTTATTTATCTACCAACGGACAGGACTCAAACTCGACATCAACGGAGCACAGGGATGGCCGAGCTGGGAAAAATGCTTGCGGGAAACTCATTCATATTGCTTGATCCCACCGTTAAGAAAAATATGCCAAGCTGGGAAATACTGGGATGGGGACGTGAACACCACCCCCACCACTCTGCAAACTGCATGACAGGCTATGAACTTTTTTCCCCCGACCATACCTTTTTCAGAGACCTTGATGCCCCCCCCATCAGCAAAATGACCTTGTGCTTCAACGCACCGCCTCCGCCCCCCGCTCTCCTTCTCCACTCTCACCCTTTCCGCCCATCATTTTATCACCATCTCCGCTAAACGATGCCCCCACGCACCAGAGGAGAAGGCTCATCCTTGCTTTCGCTTCTCGCCCCTTCCCTGCCCTCTTCTTCACGCCTCCCCCGATTCGGATCTTACCCCCCCACTCTGGACCGTCTGAGTTCCAACTCCGGCTTCTGCTCCCGCCGCTACCGATGCCTGCAGGCCCTCGCCGCCGCCTGCTATGAAGAAGGAGTCCGGTTTAGTCCATTTAGGGGTACAGGTGAGAAAGGTATCCCAATCCTCCCTAAGCACTAACATCAGCTACCTCGTCGGTCATATAAGTATTCCTGTACAGTATTATAAAGAAATACTATTTTTCCGTGGAGATCCTTTTGTGAAAAGAACTGCTGGATTGAAGGAAGGAGAATCAAAGCAGCGATTCTCCCTCCACCACGTTCGGAATGGTGGAGCTCAGGGAGCGCAAGACTACTTGGGAAATGTAGTTTATAATCGGCTGGATGGGTATGCGAGCACGTGGCTTCTGAGGTCGCGTGAATTGGGGGGTAGATCACTAGAGAGGAATGGTCGATAAAAAGAGCTGAAAGCCGAGAGGGATTAACGGGAGGAAACGAGCAGGAGAACTGAATAAGATCAAATGCAGAAATAGACATCTACGTGAGAAGCGTTAAGATGAAGGAGCATTGGACAGAGGAGGATAAGAGAAGAAGAGGATTGATGGGATAATTTGGCAGGTTCATTTGTATCAGATAATGATGGGAACATATCCTTCTTTGAGGGCCTTAGGAAAATAGAGGATGCTTCTGAAGCTGTATAGAATGGTTTCTTTATCCTTTGAATAATCACAACTACTTGGGACCATCACTTTAGGGTTGAAGGAGTGGCATCATTTGGTCCAAATATTTTCTTCAGGTAAATTCACATTTCACATGGAGGCATATGATGGGGAAAGGAAAATATAGCTTAATTGGAACCAAAAATGACTAGAAACTTGTATGCAGTGTCAAAGTTCGCATTTTAATGTAGATTTATTCCACACAATAGTTTGATCTCTGCCATTTGGGAACCAGGAAATGCTTCCAAACAAAGTATCCAAACATGTTGGACTGTTCTGACATCCTTTGCTTTAATTTGGAGATGTATGGAAGATGGGTAGATAACTGTCAGATATATAATCCTGGATAAAAAGGTTGCTGATTCTGGTGACAACTATCTCAAGGTGGGTCGTCTTGATTGACAGGTGACAGTATTTCATGTTCCATTTGAATTCAAAAGGATTTACTGTTTAAAAAAATTCTATAATATACATTGTAATTTTGCAAAATTCCACTTCTCAACTGAGAGGCAAACCCAGTTTTCCTCCTGGCGTGCTGAACAAAAATTTTGGAATCTGTAGTTCAGCATGTCTGGAGGACAGTAGGTTGCATATGATGGCAAAGATAAAAATGTTTATAATGTGATCTTCATTTGTTTTATCAATCAAAGGTTGATTATTCTGAGGTTTCTCCAAGCTTCAGTTTCAAGATATTGTCTTACTGGGAATCGAAAGATAGCTTTAATATAAGATGACTGATTAGTCATATTTGGAAAGCACTGTAATGTATTTAAGCTGCAATAACCCAACACTTTTAATTTGGTCACTAAAATAATCTAGTTAATCCATTTTCTAGGCTATGTACATTGGACTGAACTAGCCAAACAGACAAATCAAGACTAACATCCAGATTTAGCATTGTGTGCAACCGCAACTGCTTGGTCTTAATAATTAGCTTGAATGAATGGATTCTGTGGCCTGAATAAGTGTGTTTTGAGAATACAATCTTGTATTTTTCAAAGCAGGAAAATTAAAAATAGATTCTTATTCCTCTTCCCAAACCTGTTTGGGGATTTTTGAGGTACCTGGATGATAAATTCATTCCCAAGAAACACATGTTTTAAAAAAGACAATAATCAGAGAAAGACCCTGTTTATTTTCTTTCCCAGAACTGCCCCAGGGGAGGGAAAGACAGCACCAGGAGAAGGCAGTTAGGATTTTCTATATTAAAATAACATCTTCATAAAACATGCAGCTGGCCTGGACATGCATCCCACTTACTCCATTCCCTCCTTCCACAGTCCAGCTGAGGTTGAGATTCGAGTTAACAGAGTAACACTTCATCATTACTCCCTTTCCAAGCTGTCCCTGTTGTTGCTAACAATTACATGTGAGACCAGCACTGCAGAATGGGGGAAAAGCTGGAAAATTGACCTCTGACATGTGGAATGGACTGTCTTCTGACTCTTGCTTCCCTAGCTTGGCATTACCCTTTTTTCCATTCTCTTTGGATATATTTTTGCCAGCAGTGTAGGCGTTCTTAGGTCCTAAGAGTATCTACAAGTAGGAGGTGAAGCTTTTCCTTTTTTTGGCTTTCCACCCTGAGGGAAGCAACTGTGGATCAAACTGTGCTGTCTTCTAAGCCCCTGTGAAACCACAGAGGCAGGGATGCAAATATTGTGGGACCTTGGTCTTTGGACCTGAGAGATACTGTCACTCAGCAAGGCATAAGGGTTCATTGCATGGGGACAAGTAAAGCTGGAGGACAAGGGCCATGGCTTGTACTGGCTACTGGGAAAGGCTTCAAAAGCAGGCCTATGCTCCCATAAAGGTATGAGGTGTAGACTGCGTTTGATGACAGCTGAAAATCATCTAGCTAATGATGCCTCTGATCCTCAATCTTTATTTCCTATATACAATACATAACTTGATGTGGTTGATTGGTCCTGATGTCCAGTTGCCTGTCCATCAAACCAAGTAGTTCCTGACCGATAGGCAGGAATAGGGAAAGGGATAATACCAGTGTGCAGCTCCTCCATGCTGCTATCCCACAGAACCCTCCCCTTTGAAGAGCAGAGTGTGTTGATCCAGCAGAGAAAGCATCAGGAAGCAAGAGCAATTATTCTCTCTGCTCAGCAGCTACTTCTTTCTTGCTCGGTTGCTCCTCTAGCAAACATGGAGTCTCCAAATGTTCAGCCAGTCTGGGAGCTTCAATGGTGACCTCGTGAGCCACACTCATAGAGGTACGAGGAGTAACAGGGAGGCGGCCACTGACATCTGTGGCCCGTAGACGTTGCATGAATGTAGTGACTCGAATGGCTTTCTGGAATAAGAAAAGCAATTTCAAGAAATGAGTATCTGAACTGCTACCCTTTCTGGTTCTTCACCCAAGTACCAAATGATACTGGCTCTTGAATGAAGAACTGGTACAGATTAAGGCATCTGCAACTTGCAACTGCTGTAAGTAAAGAAGTAAAATGTTGGGAAGTAGGAACATGGTTTCCTTTTCTCCTTTTTTTGTAGCCTTACAACAGCAGCAATATATTTGCATCAATGCTTTCCTTAAAACACTGGATTCTAAAGGTTCATAGGAGAGAAGAAGGAAAAACATGATTGTATTTATATGACCTATAAGCTTTGATTGAAAGGAATCTGTCCTTCTGGCCCATCACCATTGAAGACACTTTTCTCCTACCTTTTCCTTAAAATACTTTATTTTCTGATTACTTGACATATTTCCCTTTGTTATAGATCATAGAGTTGGAAGGTCATCAAATCCAGCCTGCAAACTGCAGGATTCACTATCTCTTTTAGATTACTATCCAGCCTCTGTTTAAAAACCTCCAGTAAAGGGAAGAAACCATTCCATAGGGTAACCTCTTCCACTAATTGACAGCTGTTACTGTGAAGAAGTTCTTCCTCATATCTAATTTGTATCTACCCCCTTGAAGTTACAAGTCCTTCTCTAGATTTGCTCCAATTTATCAGTGTTTTTTGTAAACTAGGGTATATAGAATTGATCTATTCCAATGACTCACCCTCCATTTGGCCTTGGCAAAATTTTTCTCAAACTGTGCACAGACCCCTTCTTTGAGGTTCTTTTCGGAAGCAATGTTTCCAGATATCCTGAGAACAAAGAAAGAAGGTAGAATTATGGCTTAGCGCGCACGCACACACACACACACACGTGAGGGGTGAAGAATTATCTAAAACGGAAAATTTAAGCACATTTTCAAAATCTATGAACAGTTCAAGAGTTCTGTATCTAATTTTACAAATTGTCTCTTTGTTAGGTAACTCATCTATCCTAAAGGAGCTCACATTTAGAAGAGGTATTCCTAAATATATGGAATGTTTTTTTATGTAGAGCAATCTTAGTTTTTGTGCAGCTCCTTAGAGGACTGACTGCTCTTTATTCCTGTACCAAAATTCTTTAATCAGAGGTTTTATTTTCCATTCAGATGAATTTAGGAATTTAGCTATTAGGAAAGAGCTAAGAGCAAACATAAATTATTTTAGCCAAATAGTAGAAATAAATGATCCCTAAAATGTGATAAACTAAGATTTTTTAATAGATGTGCACACTGAGAATTTAGATATATGCTTAGCAAATTGGTTTAGCATCAGAATTGGGATACTGATTTTCTGTTTATCATTAATTCAGGAATGGCTTTGGACCTCCCTATTTATCTGAAAAATGTGCCTATCATAACAGCAATTATACCAGACTCTATATGGTAACACTTTGTAATGCTTTTTATTAAAGATGCAGTAAACATTTGCTAGAGTTGCTCACTACCATATGATAAATAGGGCCAGCCTTAGGCATTGACTGCTTTTCTTTGCATTCCTGTCAACTGTAGTGGCAACAGGCCAATAAGAACATAGACATAAGCTTTAACAAATTAGGAACAAAAGTAGAAAACATAGTTTTGTTTCACATGTTCCTCCTCCAAATTGTTCAGGGCATTGCTTGTGCTCCACCCATTTCTTTTATCATTGTAATAATTCTGCAAAATAGAATAATGCAGATATAATCACTAGCCTCAAATCATTCAATGACTTCATGGAAAACCACATCTTTGAATTTAGATCAGTGGTCTTTCGACTGCAATACTATGTTGGGAGATAGAAACTTACAGGTTCTGAATATTGAGGGTGGGGATGGGGGGGGAGAACAGAAGGAATGAGTTGGGAAGTAAAATGGCTGTGTCTTTAGAAATAGAATAGAACAGAATAGAACAGAACAACAGAGTTGGAAGGGACCTTGGAGGTCTTCTAGTCCAACCCTCGGCTTAGGCAGGAAACCCTATACCATTTCAGACAAATGGTTGTCCAATCTCTTCTTCAAAACTTCCAGTGTTGGAGCGTTCATAGCTTCTAGAGGCAGGTTGTTCCACTGATTAATTGTTCTAACTATCAGGAAATTTCTCTTAGG